CAGTCGATGTAGACCAAAGGCATAGTTGAAAGATAAACAGTTGGTTCCTGTTCAATAAGTCAATAATCAAGGGAGGATAGAATAAAGTATCACAAAAATCAGCAATAATTCCCAGCTGCTGGGTGTGCAGCAGGCTGCTGTGACCACCTCTGGGAATAATTCTGGACTCTGGCCAGGATATTAATTAATCCATAACCACCAAGACTCAGGGAACTCCCTATCAATTAATGAACAGCTGGGAGCCTGAGAGACTTACGGGCCTCCAGAAGGTTATATTTTTAGTTAGTTGTACTTCCCAGGATGTGTCTGTGCAAAGATCATGGGGGCCACTGGGAGCAGAAGAGTTGGAACACAAATAAAAAGATATTTTTAAGTGGAAATTTTGTATTTCCTAAACTTTCTGGGCTCTATACAGGACATAAGAGTTTACGCATTAGCTAGATTATTCAAAATTTTTTTTAACTTTTCACTCTTTACTGATACTAAGTGTAAGGTAAAACAAATAAACATATGAAAAATGCCCAATCTTAAATAAATTTCATAATGAGAATAATGAGATACAATTTCTCTCCCACTTTATTGGCAATGATAAAAAAATCAACACAAGTTGACCAAACACAGTGAAAAAGAGGCCCTAGTCAAAAGGCCTTCTCATACAGTAATGGTGGGGGTTTATCTTAGTAGAACTTTCCAGAAGGAAAATTGGTAAAGTGGTAATATCGACAAAATGTGAAATGTATAACTACTTTGACCTACTAGTTCTTCTTCTGGGAATTTATTCCAAGGAGATAATTAGGCAAGTGCTCCAGGTTTACATACAAAAAAATTGTTATTTACAGCATTATTAGTAAGACCAAATATTCAGAAGTACCCTAAATATCCATAAAGGAGATCATAGTATAACTAGACAGTGGAGTCCTGTTAGCCTAAAAAGGATGGCATAAATCTATAAACCATAACATGGGACCTTCTCCAGGCTGTTCAGTAAAAAAAGGGTTTTCATTCTGTAAACGCTGCCATGCATGTAGTGGTGTGCAGCGTTGCACAGCAAGACGCCTAGAATGATCTTCACCACATCTTCCCAGGTGGTAAGATTTCAGGTGACTTTAAAATCTTTTTTTTAAATCTGCATTATTTGAATTTTTACAATGAATATATAATATCTTTATAAACAGAAAACCAACTGTGTTTAGAGATCATAAGAAAACATCTAAAGGGTATATAAATTGCCTGGAGAAAAGACAAAGCTAAAACCAGAATAATGGCTGACTCTCAGAAGGCAGATGTGGAGGGAGTTTGGGACTGGCTTGCCAGCCTTGCACAAAAAGATTAGTCCTTACCAGTCCTGGGGAAGGCAGGAAGCTCAAGTGGTTAGGAGCCTGTGTTCCAGGGTAAGTCCTTGGGTTCATATGTCAGGTGAGCAACTTGGGGTAAATTACTTAACCTTCCATGCCTTAGTTTCCCCATTTATAAAATGGGAGACTGATAGCACCTGCCTCTAAAGAGTGTCACAAGAATTAAAGAAGAGGGTAAACAAAAAATACCTATCACATAATCAATGTTCACTAGACATTAGCTCTTATGAAAATGAGCTTCAGACAATTGTAGCCTGTGTGAGTTAATGTTCCCAGAATAAAGCACTAATGAACAGTTAAGGAGAAGAAGAAGGTAAAGGATAATTAGGCAAAGAAATCTACAAAAGTAGACAGATGGTTATCTAGGTTCTGCAGTTTAAGGGTGAAGGGTATGAGCTGCATGACTGCAAGCATGTGACCACCTCGCAAATCGCATCTGCTCACTCCACAAAATGGGGATCACATACAGAAGGTCATTTTGAGGATTAAATGCCAGGTGCTAACACCACACTTGATAATAGTGAGTTTTCAATATATATTTGCTACTATTAATAAAAATAATTATTAATGACTATAGGAACAGGTAGTGAGCTCCCTGACAGTAAGGGTATCCAGGCAGGCTTAATTACTACTTAATTAAGGAGGAAGAAGATGAGAGAGGACTTAGTCATGGAATGAGGGCATGGACTACTGGATTCTTCCAGGCCTACAGATCCTATGCAAAGTCATTGCTGTTGTTTGGGATTGTTGTGCAGAGTGACCAGCAGGAACATGTTTCCAGAGAGTTATGTGATGATGCAGCTCTCTGCGGGCAGCCCTGCTTTTCAGCCAGGTGAGGCAGGTGTGAGGTGGTTCCCACAAACTCTGCTCACTCTCTGTCCCAAGAGTGGTTCTACCTGCTCTGGAAAAACTGCCCATGGTGGTTCATCAACCATTTGGGCTTACAGAGCCCCGTGAGCATTGCTGAAAGCTGTGGTTCCTCTCCCCTGAAGTACGCACATCCACACAGTCTCTGGCATGCACAAGGAAACCTGGCTGCAGGTGATTACAGTAGTAACAACAGCAACAGTAGGAAACACACACTGATGGTTTACAGCGTGCTGGGCTTCGGGCTGGCAGCTTTGCATACATTGTCTTGCTGACTTCTCATCAGACCCTTGAATCTATGTCTACATTATGTGTCATCCCATTCTACAGATGAAAAAAAGGAAGAACAAAAAAATAAAACAAAACACAAAGTCCTCCAGCCAGCAAGGTACAGGGTTTGAACCCAGCTCTAAAGTACCCTCAGAATATGAAGAGTAGTTAGTTGGCGGGGCTGTTGATAAGCTGACAACTAGTTAGCAGGTTAGATGAATCCTAGTCTCTGTCAGGACCGGCTACGTACTCTCCCAGGCTACTGGGTTAGCTGGACCCTCTCAAGGCAGCTGGGAGCGAGGAAAGCTGAGGTTGCCATGGACATTATCTAGTAGTTCCTAGAGAAAGCAGAAGACTGAGAGACAAAGGTTAGGCTGTGCCCACTAAATGGGTACCCCAAAAAACAGGATGCAGACTGCTATTAACAATCCCTATGTTTGGAGCAAAGGACCCTCACTTAAAGAACACAGAGGTTTTGATCTATATAATAAAGTTGAGCGAGGCAGACAGAAGACTTTCTCAGAGATATCTAAATATGTATGGACTATTTTACCACTTTTATTTTCTTTTAAAAGCCCTTGGTCGGCCGGCCCGGTGGCGCACTGCGCTAGTGCGCTGCTTGGGAAGCGCGGCAGCGCTCCCGCCAAGGGTTCGGATCCCACATACAGACCGGTTCCCGCTCACTGGCTGAGCGAGGCGCGGGGGCAACACCGAGGGTTGCGATCCCGTTGCCGGTCCCGGTCTGGTACGGGGGCACACTGAGGGTTGCAATCCGTTGCCGGACACAGAAAAAAGACAAAAAAAAAAAAAAAGCCCTTGGTCAATCCAGGAAAGCTTGGAATTCGCCTCATCTCAGGGCCATTGGGATTCCTGTGACTTGCAACAGATGCTCTGGTTTGCTTTGCCATGGCAAGGCCAAGGGACAGTCCCCTGCATTTCTCTGGACCTTTAGGGATCCTTAAACCATGTTCTCAAATCACTGTTATAATCTGTTCATATCCCAGGCAGATCCCAAGGGGACAGTCATAACCTCATGGTTAAGAACATGAACTCAGACACTTTAGAATCTTAGACACCTTGGTTCAAATACCGGCTCTTCCACTGAATAAACCTCTCTGAGCTTCAGCTTCCTCATCAGTCCACATCATAGATAGGATTAAATGAGATAATGCAATATTGGGAAGGCAGTGAGGTGTAGGGTTAAGAAAACAGGCTCTGGGGCTGTTTAGGTTCAGATCCCAGCTCTATCACTAGCTGTGTGTTTTTAGGCAAGTTACTTAACCTCTATGGGCCTCAACTTCTTTAGCTGTAAAATGGGAACAATGATAGTGTCCATCTGTGTAGAGTAGTTTTGCAGTGAATGAATAAGTTATGACTTGGAAAGGGCTTAGAACAGTATCTGTCACATAGTGAGTACTCGGTGGATGCGAGTTTTATGATTAATGCATGTAAAGCCCTCAGCATGGAAAAATAAGTGTTCAATAAATGGTGGCTGTTATTATTATAAGGTATATGTTCCTCGGAGAATTTTATGCACATTTATCTCCTGGAAGGCAATAAAAAATGAAGATGTTAGGGGAAAACCTTGTCATTAAATAAATATTGCAGTCATAGCAGAGTGAATCTGCAGGTCCTGTTACCCCAGCAGGATATCCTAGGACCCCTACGCCCCTCCCTTCCCCTGCCCAGGCCCTCCTTTGCTTCCAAAGGACCTGCCCTTTACCCACTCTTTCAACAAATGCTCTTCAAGCATCTACAGTGAGCCGGATAAAGGGCTGGGAATATCTAACCAGTGAACGAGATGGCTCCAGCCCCTGTCCTCCTGGAGTTTACAGAGTAGTAGGGAAGATATACACTAAACAAATGCATACAAAAATGATTATTTAATGACAGCTGCAATTTGTGTAGTGAAGGATGTCATGAGAATGTGTAATGGGAGTCCTGATAGGGTCTAGCGCTGGGGGGGTGTGAAAGCAAGAGTCATTGTAAAGACTCCCTTAGGAAGTGACATTTAACTGGGACTTCATGGATGAAAAGGAGGTGGCTGGGTGATGCCTGGGAACAGAGGCAGGAAAAGATCCAGACAGACAGGCCTTTTGTTTCAAGGCTCTCCACCCACTTGGTGCCTGGCGAACTAGGAGAACAGAGAAGGGTGGTGTAGCTGACTGGCTAACTGAATCCTAGGTCCTCCACTCAGAATACTCAGGAGGTTGGAATTTGGAGAGAAACCCAGGTCCACAGGAACTGTGTTCTCAGTGGCGACTGTTGTCTCTTCCCTTTCAGGCACTCCTCACCTGCTAGCAAAAACTGCTTGGTCTCAGACCCCACAGAGCAAGTGAACTCCGTTCTTGGCTCAAGCTGACTGAATCCTAGGTCCTCCACTCAGAATACTCAGTTAGGAGGTTGGAATTTGGAGAGAAACCCAGGTCCACAGGAACTGTGTTCTCAGTGGCGACTGTTGTCTCTTCCCTTTCAGGCACTCCTCATCTGCTAGCAAAAACTGCTTGGTCTCAGACCCCACAGAGCAAGTGAACTCCGTTCTTGGCTCAGCGTCCCAGAGACTGCAGATGTGGCTCACTTTGCCCACGTGTGAACTTCAGCCAAGACACCACGACAGGAGCTCTGCCCTCTGAGTCTCCTCTGATGCCTCAATCCTGTCCTGGTCATACCCCACTGGGTTTTGTGAGGCTATTTAGCAAGATAAGTTTACCTCACTGAAGAAAAGGGAAACAGCATGAAAGATAACAATGGCCCCAAAGGAGGAATTTGTGATTGACATGAATGGCGATGTTCCCTTAGGAGCATCATGTATCATCAAAGAAGCAAGCCCCCAGGTCATTTATTTCTCCACCTATTTTCAAGCTATGGAAAGAAGACGTGTTTAAGTTTCCTGTAGTTTCACGCTGGAAGTTGATGCTCCGAGAAAGGAAGCCGTATGTTCTAGCCGTTTTTCTGGAATTCATACCTTAGGAGTCTGGCGCTATCTCCTAAATGGTATTTTTGTTGTCTTTTTGTTCAAGACAGCAAGCTTCTTCCAGGATCAGAACCTCCTGCCAACCTCCCTTGATAAACATCCCACCAGCTTTCTCGGTAGATCAGATGTTTAATAGTTAGCTTAATCATTGTTTATCTAAGTAGCAATTATGACTGCGATGAAATAATATTTCAATTGCAGGGGAAGCATTACAGAGAGCTCCTGAGTAGAATCTACAGGCTGGGAATGGCCGACAGGGCTTCCCATACCAAGAGGAGAGGACCACTCCATCCTGGCTGGCAGTTCTCCGTGTCTGAGATGCCATCATTAGATGCTGCTCCAAAGACCTAAGGGAGATGTGCCCAGGAGAAGCGTATGGTCCCAATCCTTTCCACTGAGGCTCAATGGCCCAGCAAAATATGAAAGTGAGGCCTGTGCTTCTAAAGCGTAACAGTCTAGAGTCGGTGGAGCTCGTGAAACAACCTCACCACCGCAGGAGCAAATCCCAGCAGGTGAGATTCAAGGAAGATGGGAACACTAAGAACCCAAGTGGCCTAGCTGAGGTGGATGTCCGAACTCCTGAAGAGCCAGTTGTGATGAAGAAGATCCCAGCACCCAGGCATCATCACCCTCCCACCTATTCACTCTCTTTCCCCAGGTCCCAAAAGGCAGGGGGCTTTCAAAACATTGCGATCCAAACCTCCCCCAGTCTCAGGAAGCATTTCCCGGTTTTCAAAAGGAAGAAGCTCACAGCCAGCAAGTCCCTGGTGGAAATGCCAACAGCACCTCAAAGTGCCATCCAGGTCAACGGCAACCTCTCTGAACAGGACATTGTGTCTTCTGACCTTGCCTATGTAAGGCTGGCTCAGCATCTTGAGGATGGGCCTCGAAGGGTCAAAGTGTCCCACCCGTTTCTCCCTACGGTGTCCAAGGTGCAAAGCAATGGGCCTGTTAGCATATGCTTGGAAGCAGGGACTTGGAGAGCCTCAGAGAAAGCAACAGCTGCCATTCAGGTCCCAGATGATATTTATCACAGTCCTTCCCAGGAAGCTAGAGAGTCCACTTTCAGCCCAGACAGGTCAGCTGAAAAAACCAACTCTGCACACCCTTTGGTTGACATGTGTCCAGATAATGGGAGAAGGGTGACACCATCAGATTCAGAAAGATCCCCATCCTGCTTAAATGCCACCAGCGGTGCCAACCACATGCCAGGCACAGAGAAACTTAAACCCGAATTGCTTGTTCCCAAAGACATCTCTGATGACAAAGACCCTGGCCCACTGTTATCTCAGTCAAAGGAAATGTGTGTCCCCTCACCTTCACGGACTCACAGCTTGCCCTTGCCAGGTTCCCACAGCCAGCCAGCCCATCCAGGAAGAGCCCCAGACTGTCCTTCATTGAGTAACAATCAGCAGGATCTCGTGTCACTCAAAACTAACAGTGCATCAAAATCTGCCCCCACGTGTCAGGAGCAGATGGCAAAGAACCCTACCCAGTCAGACGCCTGGGAGTTTCAAAACTGTCCAGGAAGTGATCACCTCCCATCCCCTCTTCCAAGGAGTGAGAACAAACTTCAGAGCAACAGGGAGATTAGTGGCATTAATCAAATTCACCTGGCACGGGGTGAACTCTGCGACCTCCAAGGCCGGCTGCAATCTGTGGAGGAATCTCTACACTCGAATCAAGAGAAAATTAAAGTCCTTTTGAATGTAATTCAAGACTTGGAGAAAGCTCGAGCTCTCACGGAGGGGTAAGGTGATTTTTAATTTTTTTCATATTAAAAACTAGTGGATAAAGTCATTTACCAGAACAGGGGCAGAGAAAGAGCATTGGTTTCCGTTAGTAAAATGTCTCCAAAATGTTTCAAGTCCTGTTGTTTCCTCAGATCAAAACCAATGTCTATAAAGTTGGGGTCCAGTTGATAAATGGTGGGGGAAATGATAGCAGGCAGGTACTTCCCCCACCGCATCCTCTTAGTAAGTTACTACATTTGCACAGTATTTTAGTTCTTGGTGTGTTTGTCACAAAGCACTTGATGTGGCCACTAAGTTTATTATTGACGTTTTCCTCTACCAACCATTTTGATGACTTGGGCTGGCTCATCATTGACCAGCTAAGTACGAACTGAAATGAAATCACAATTCAGCAAAGACAAAAAAGTCACAAAATGCTTTCCTGGGTGACTCAGCACTAGGCTGGGGAAGAAAAGGCAATTATTTCTTTAGGTGTGGAATGCTCGTCCACCCAGAAATGTTCTCTAAAGACAGAGAGGAAGCAATGGTTAAAGCTCATCAAAAGGAGTAGGAGAGAGAAGTAATTAAAAGGCATTTGTTGTCAACATTGTCTTATAAAAGAGAGAAACACTGTGATGGTACAAAGAGAAATGCACTGAAGGTCAGGAGTTTTAACAATCTCCCTTCTACTCACATGCGAAATCTCTCATCTCACAGTATTGTCAGCATGAAAAAACCCTCACATTTGGAAGTGTTTATGCATGTATAAAGCCCTCTAAACATATGAGGTCCTATTTGCATGACTTTCTTGTTTCTTTATTTGTAATATTCATGCAACTTTTTTAAAAAATTATTTTTTATTGTAACAGTTAATTGTACATATCTGTGGCATTCAGAGTTGAATATCAATACCTGTGTGCCATATGTGATGCTCACATCAGGATAATTTATATATTCAACATTATACAATGTAATCATTTTCATGGAAGTTTAGAGCATCGTAAATGCAGTGCTGTAGGAACTAAGGGATGAGTCTGTAGAATGTGTGTGTCCTATGTGGCTTTTGCGCATAGATTTATCCAGCAAATGCTCTATCTCGCAGGCGCAACTTTTATCGAACTGGCCAAGATCTCAACAATTGCAGCACCTGCCAGAACACAGCGTGCATCATATACAGGTACCTGGCCACAACTGAGGTCTGCTCTGTAGAGCATGGAAGCCGTGGGGTCCACAGAACACGCTAGTAAACTCTCTTAAACAGAAAGACAGGGGGCCTTTGAATACCTGAGACTTAAAACACAAAGTGCTTAGCTATGAAACGTTAACACCTGGTTCCCAGGGAGGGATTGCTTTATTTCCCACAACCAGGTCTTGAGCAAGCCCTTTCGATGTAACCACCCCTAACGAACCCTAAGTGCAGGGACGTGGTAAGTTCTGTGTGCACTTTGCATCTCATTGCACAATTAGAGAAAATTAGTTGTAGGGTGGGTGTTATGGTCATCAGGGAAGTTAAGCCATTTGGTCCAGGTCACTTAGAGCATTTTCTGAGAACAGAAGGGGCCAGACTCAAGACTCACATCCAGATCTTTCCAGTCCCAAACCTGTGATCTTAATTATTCCACTACACTGCCTCTTCCTCAACAGTAGCTATGCCATGCTGAGCACTTACTACGTGTCAAGAACTGTGCTAAGCACCTTGCATTCATTTCTAAGTACACCATTTTATTCTGGCATGGGGTAAGGTTGCTGCAGTGAAGTGGATTTTTACAAGTGATAAGAGGGAAACATCATACAGTGGTGACAGCACTAAACTTGGAGTCAAAAGACCTGTGTTTTCATCCCCAAATCTGACACCAACCTACTTGACCTGGGCTCACTTTCCTTATCTGTAGAGTGGACACAATTATCCCTATTCAGAGTTGCCATGAAGACCAAATGAGATAAAATATGTGCATGCCTTTTGTAACGGCAAACCTCTGTCCAAATCCAAGGAATTATTACAGTTATTACTGGAAAGATCAATGCCCCCGTAGCTGGAAGCCCACTTTCGGTGGCATGGTAGAAAAGCGGAGAAAAGCGGTCAAAAGCAGTCATTTCAGTTGATAGCTCTAATTTTGTTCAACAAAAGTGTATCGTTTTGCTTTCTCCATTATTTTTCTCTCTCCAATGAGAACAGCAGCTCAGGCCCTGAGCAAACGGAAGCCCGATTTCATTGCCTGCATCTTCTTTTAAAAATTTCTCATTTTCTCTGGTGTAATCCTGAGATTTCATCCCTATAAGGGACTGTGTCCCTAAGAGTCAGGAGGTGCTTATACTTAGGCAGGGTCTTGAGCATTTTCTCATTGAATTTGTCAACTCCTTATACCAAGAAGCCACAGGACCACACCATTTTACCAAATACCAAAGATTCAGGACTGCTTACAGAAAAATGCCTTTCACCTCAAAGTGAAGTCTCCATTCAGAAAAGGGGGTTCTGGAACAGGCGTTCAGCATTGGAAAGTATAAATAGGCAGTCTCATCAATTGCTACCTTTTTGCTCCTTTTTTTCATCTCCTATCTTAAGCAAATTTTCTAATCACTAGGAAGACAAAAATTATTAAATGTCTAGATGACTAGGGAGGACAAGAAACTATTCATCATAAACAAGAAGAATTAATTTGCACGAACCTCCATTTAAATGTTGGGTAGCCTCTCTTCCTTTCAGCAGCTGGATTATGTATTTTCTATTACTTTAAAATTATTTTTTATTTGGCTTATGTAAGTATAAAGGGCAAGTGGTTATTTCCCAATCTACTGTGAATTTCATGCCCTGGCTGTGGGCAAGTCATTTCTGGCTTGAGTTTCCTCATCTGAAAAATGACAGCCTTTAATTAGACAGTCCCTATGGTTCTGACATTCTGTTATTCTAAACTGATTTAAAAGTGACAATATTTGTCCAAACTATGACCTTCCAACAAGTTTGAGAATGTTTGCATTTTTTTAGTACTTACTTCAAACATGCCAAGCAAATATTCTAAATTAAGTTACACCACTGGATGGGTTAGCAAACCTTCCCTTTCCAGAAGATCAGCAATAGTATGCATCTATCCCTCATTACCATTCAAAGCCAGACTGTTCTCCCAGACACTATCTATATCCTTGTATCTAAGTCATTGCAAAGGAATGGGCAATTAATTTGATGAAAGCAAAGAGATCAGAACAACATTCCCATCATAGTAACAGTGGAAAGATGAGAGTTGTCTTTTTTAAAAAACAAAACAAACAAAAAAACAACATTTCAAATGACTTCAAACTTGTGTCCTTGAAAGCCAGATCTTAGAAAGTGATGGATAAGTGATGTGGAATACTCATCCCCAGGCCTTGTTAAGCCGCAGTCTCTCTCCCTGATGATAGATGGGCCCAGTGCACGTCACTCTACATAAAGCACGTGGGTGCATGATGGATTGCCCACAGGGTCTTCTTCTCTGGAGATGCTGCTTTTAAGTTAGCAGCACATAAGGTTTTCTAAGTGGTATTTCCTAGGGCAGTATTGGCCAAAGGCTATGGCTATGCTGTATGCTCCTATTAAGACATGTGGGGTCATCTGGTTCTAACCAAGTCATTCTCTCTGCTCCCTAAGCTTCCTTGGCTCTCCTCTTACCATGGATCACTTGGGTAGAGCCTATCTCAGTGAGGAGCACAGCACCAACACTAATGCCTAAAGACTCCATGAGAGGCTCTCAGGGACTTCCAGGGGATTCCATACACCTGGGAGAAGGAACTGCTTTGAGTTCTGACTGCTGTAGGATCCAAGGAAAGAGGCTGCGAATTGGCTCTATGCCTCAAGCTGGTTCCAGGCTGTTTAGTCCCCAGTCTCTTCTCGCCTCTCCTTAGCATTAATCCTAGGACAAATTACCCAAAGGGTTGAGTGAATGCCACTGGTGGTACCCAAGATTAAATAACATTGAATTACTTAGTGAGAAAGTTGTTCTTTTTCTTTTTTCTTTTCTTTTTTTTTCCTTTTTGTCTTTTTTCGTGTTCGGCAACGGATTCTTTTTTCAAATTTATTTCAATCCTTCTGATTACCTAGGGGAAAAATCTGAGGTTGGTGCTATAACATCTTTAAAACCATTCTATCTCTTGCTTGTCATGTTTCTTTGCAAGCAGAGAGCAAGTCTCAGGTTCATAGCCCTCGGCAAACAACAGTAAATAGCCAGAATGTAGTAATTTTTAATTTTTCTATCAAAGCTTTTAACTTTCAAAGTTAATCCTCTTAAATATTTATTTTAAGTGATGCATGTCTGTATTTTTTAAAGTGATATCGTGTTTTGTATAATTTGTTTTAGCTTTAAAAATGAATTGATTTAGAGGAAAAATGTTAAGTAAATAATTGTGCAGATGGTGTGGGAAATCTCACAAAAACCAAGAAGGTGATGAACAAGGGATTAGAGTTTGAGAAATAGATCCCTAAGGAATCGGCTCCTTTGCCTTTTCTTCCAGGGCATGAGGTCTCAGCAAGCCATGTCCCACCTCTTACCCTCACCCCGTTCTCTGATCCTCCCACAATTATCTCTCTGCACTTTATCTTCACATTCACTGTAAAAAGAGGCTTCTGCCTATTTAATTTTGATTACATGTATCGTGCATTTCTTTTCTGGAGGTAGCTCCCAGAAAAAAATCTGCTTGGTTTAAGTTGTAAAATGCCTCCAATGTTTTAAGAAAAAATAACAGGAGGTCTTTCCCAGAAAAAAATTTTCATCTATCATCCAAGCATATTTCTTAGGGAATGGAAATAAAGAGTAAGCTACAAACTTAACATGTCCAATGGGGGAAGGGAGTGATAGGCCATGTTAGATTAGAAAGGCTCTAGGGAGGAGAAACAGAAGAGCTATTGTTTGTCTGGGGTCTAGCTGGACAATCTGCTCCTCTTCCTGTCCTTAGCCTCTTCCCATCGCTTCCACTGTGCTCATGGACTTTACGTTTATTTCCCTTACCTCTCTTCCTGAGTTCCTGACATGTGTGCGTGCACGTGCACACACACACACACACACGCACACACACGCACACGCACACACACACACACACACAATTTCCAACTGATATCCCAAAACACACTCATTTCCCCCCATAAAACGCACACACACACACACACAATTTCCAACTGATATCCCAAAACACACTCATTTCCCCCCATAAAACTACTTCTCTTCCCACATTTCTTACTTTGCTCAGCACCATTGACCATGAGGTGACCCCCTAAAGAAACCACTGTCCCTCTTGACTGACTCTTCTCCTTCACAACACACATCCAGTCGGTGACGATTCTAACTGCTAAATCCAGCCCCTTCACTCCAACTCCTCCATCTCTGGTTCAGCAAAGGCCCTCATTATTTGTCACTTGAATGCTGATTGGTCTTTTTGCCACAGGTCCCTTTGCCCCATCTCAAGTAGCCTTCTACACAGATTGCTAAATTACACCAGAAAAGTAGAAGCTGAGCATGTCCCTCCCCTGCTACACAATCTTGTCCTGGTTCCTGTTGTTTCCATTAGCTAATATTTCAAGGCACTTTGAACGTGATCCTGAAGCCTTTTTGCCTGCTAGGTCTTCGGCTCCTGTCCAGCCACAGGGACTACTCAGCTGGTAGTTCTGTTGTGCCTCAGAGCCTTTGCATAAGTGCTCTCACTTTCCTGGAATGCTTTTACTGCCCTGCTTTATCTGGACATTTACCAGTCTTGCCAAGAAGTCCAGTTCTCTGGACAACCTAATACTCATTCCCAAGAAAGACCCCCATGGCATGCACATTCTTCTGCTATACCATGGATCCTATTGCCTCGTAATGCAGCATTTATGAGTTTTTTTCCTTCAGCAGATGACTATTGTCTCAAAGTCATGGGGCGGTATCTAATACATAGCTGGTGCTCAATAGATGGAAATAGAATGAAAAATGATGGAGGGCTTGAGACAGCTGTTTAGACCACCCAAAAGTAAAGTCATTGTTATCATTTGGGTGTACCCCCAACCTTGGGTGGGGAAATGGAGGGTCTTAATTAATCAAACGATCTTATTAGGGAAGGAAGGCTTCTATATAGCAGGTCCTCAGTAGATCCTTTGGAAGTGAGTCAAATAATGAATGAATGTAGTACACGGATTGTCAATTTGAAAACACCAGGAACAAGACAGAACCTAATCAAATCTTC